TTCTGGTGATTGCTTTATAAATTTCTTAGTACTTTACAAATAATCATGTCATCCTTAAATAGAGACAGCTTTACTTCTTCCTTTCCCATCTTTATGCCATATATATTTTCTTTTCTTCCTTCCCTCCTTTTTTTTTTTTTTTTTTGACCTATTGCATTGGCTAGGACTCTAATGTTGAATAGATGTAAAAAGAGTGAATATAATTGTTCCCAATAATAGGGGAAAGTATTTAACATTTTAGCAGTAATGATGTTATCTGTTGGTTTTCCATAGATGCCCTTTATCAAGATGATAAAATTTTCTACTAATCTTAGTTGGCTGAGAATTTTTAAATCAACAATGGATGATGGATTTTGACAAATGCCTTCTCTGTTGAAATAAATGATTAATGAGTTTTCTCTTTTCTTGTATTAATACGATGAAGTATAATTGTTGAGTTTTGAAAATTAAACTAACCTTGAATTTGTGAGATAAACCTCTCTTGTTTGTGATATACTGTCCTTTTTCTATATTGCTAGATTTTATTTGCTATTAGTTGTTAAAGATTTTTCATTTATGTTAAACAGTGATATTGGCCTGCAATTTTCTGTTTTTATAATGTTTTTGTCAGGTTTTGGCATCAGGGTTATCCCTGCCTCTTAAAATGATGTGGGAAGAATTTCTTCTTCCTCCATTTTTTGAAAGAGTTTATGTAAGACTGGTATTATTTCTTCTTTAATATTGAATAGAATTGACTAGTGAAGCTATCTATCTAGGCCTGGAGTTTTCTTTGTGAGATGGGTTTTGAGAATTATTTTTATCTTTTAAAAAGGTGTGGGGTTATTCTATTTACCTCGTGTCAGTATTTGTGAGGTACATTTTTTTTTTCAAGGAATTTGTCAAGTTCATGTAAATTGTCAAATTTATTGGAATAAAGTTTTTCATAATGTTTTCTTATTGTCCTTGAACATTTGTAGGATTTATAGTAGATCTCTTTCACTTTTGACATTGGTAATTTGTGCACTCAGTTTTTTGTAGATCTCTTTCACTTTTGACAATGGTAATTAGTGCACTCAGTTTTTTGTAGATCTCTTTCACTTTTGACATTGGTAATTTGTGCACTCAGTTTTTTGTAGATCTCTTTCACTTTTGACATTGGTAATTTGTGCACTCAGTTTTTTGTAGATCTCTTTCACTTTTGACATTGGTCATTTGTGCACTCAGTTTTTTTCTTGAGCCATCTAGCTAGGTATCTTTCAAGTTTATAGGTATTTTTAAAGAACCAACTTTTGGACTTCTTAAATTTTTTCTATTGTTTGTCTGTTTTCTATTTCATTGATTTGTGTCCTTTGTTATTTTCTCTCTTCTACTTACTTTGCTGAGTTCTGCTATGTTTTTCTGAGGATTGCTTTCATTTTTTTTTTTTTTTTTTGTTTGTCTGTTGGCCGGATTCAAACTCCAAACTCTGTTTCCCCTAAGTGGGCAGCAACAGAGTTCAGTTTGTTTAGCCTTAACTGGGCTGCTTGGAATCTTCCTAACACATGCCAGAGTCTTGAACAGACATTATACACAGAATTTAGAACTCCTTCCCACCCCAGCTCTCTCCTTTCTAGGATTTGCTCTTTCATATCATGGCTGCTGTGGTCACCCCAAAACTCTGCTTGTTCCTCAAGCCAGTAAAGCTGCAGGTTTTCTTTCTGAGTTTGGCTGCCTTACTTGCTTTCATCTGAGGGTCTATCCTCAGATGAAATCTGTAAACAAAGGAAATCACCAGTGCTTTTTCCTCCTTCCAAGCACAGATTTCATTTACCTCCAGTGTAGACCTGCTTTTGGCTGCATCCAGTTCTTTCAGGCAGTTGTTTCTTTATATTTTATCCAGAATGTATAGTTATTTACAGGAAGATTGATCCAGTAGGAGCTAATCCTCTGTTACAAAACCGAAGTCCTAGTTTGTTCATTTTTAATCTTATTCCTCTTTCTGTTTTCCATGGTTCTGTTGTAAGTGGTGATCTGGCCAAATTTCTAGGGCCAGGAGCAAAACTGAAGTGTTTATATAACTCACTAACTGGATGAGCTGGCCTCTGAATAACTGAGCTCACTCTGTTACTATTCATTCAAAAGCAGAACTCCTGCTTCATTATGCTATAGGAGTCCATATCTAGTTGGAACTAGGCTAACTCTAGACAAGATTGGGAAGTCCATTTAATTTGCCTGGAACTTATTCTTTAGCATCTCTCCCCAAAGTCATTATGGTTCCTTCTGCTCAGATGGAAATGTTCCCGGATCTCTAGATCTTTTCTCCGTGGGCAACCCTCTATGTTTCTGACCCCTCTCTCTTCTAGTACCTACCAAAACTCTTTCTGCCCCCCTCCCCGGGCCTGTCGTCCCTTTGCTCAGGAGAGTTAGTAAAGGGACTGAAACCTAGTTCTCTGACAGTGATGATGGGCTAATGTGCTCTCTTTCACAAGATAAATCTCCATTTGATATTGACTACTCTGAAACCATAGAATGGATCACAGAATGTAATATAATCCAGCCTCTTCATTTTTACTGTTGAAAAATGAATTTCCAAAGTGGATAGATGACATGTCCAAGGTCACACACTAGTGGCATTGGGGCTGAAATACTAATTCCTGACTATGAGTTGGCTCAGGAATGGCTTCAGGCATCAGGTTCCATGGCAGGGTGTGCAAGGTGGCAGCATTGCGGTTTTCTGCATGGCTGGCTTCACACTCAAACAGTGACAGTCAGAGCCTGGTCACCTAGGGGGTTGACAGTGTCAACACTGGGTGATGAGAATTGATTAAAAGAAGTAAGGATGTCTTATCCGGAAAAGAGAAAACTGAATGGGGACATTATCGAAGGCCTGTGTGGGAATTTAGGCATACTCTGTAGAGTTCCATACAACAGAACCATGACAAATGGGTTAAAGGTGCAGTCAATTTCAGCTTAAGACAAGGATTTTTTAATAATTAGAAGTGTCTGCAAATGGAAGGGCTGGTGGCTGAATTCCTTTGGAGCAGCAGTTGAGGAATTCTGTACTACTGGAAGCTTTCAGATAAGGCTCAGTTGGGACAGGGTGGAAGGGGTTCCTCTACTGCATGGGACTTTGGAAGTAGATTCCCTCCTACATGGCGAAGACACCTATCTACCCTTTAGAGGGAAAGGGGACTTCTGAATGCCCTAATACATGCCCTCCCTGTCCCAACCCCATACACATATGATATGGTATTGATTGGGGTGATGTGGTCTGGTGTGATGTACCATGGTGTGGTAAGGGGTGGTTTGGTGAGGGGTGATGGGTTGTGGTGTAATGTGGTATGGTATGGTGTGGTGTGATATGGTGAACTATGTGGTTTGGTGTGAAATGGTGTGCTATGTCATAGGGTTGTGTAGTGTGCTGTGGTGTGGGTGGTGTGGTGTGGTGTGAGTTGTTATGGTCTGGTATGTTGTGATATGAGAAGAATCATGGTCAGAATCTTCTAGCAGCTTTGAAGCTCCACTGGGACAGTGACCAAATGGTATTGGAATAATTCTGGTTGTCAAAATGTAGTGCCAATTTAGTGATTTCCTAAGCAGCACTGGCCGCATCTTCTACAAGAAGGAAAATCTTCTGTGTCATCTTGTAGCTTCTCTATGAAATAATTTGGCAGCAACAGCATTTTGTATCACAACAAAGGGTACCAACAAAGGGCCACATGCAGCCCCTCTGACCCATCCATCCCACCCATCCTGTCAACTAGAGGACAGAGACAGGCAATGAACTAAAAACAAATCTTATCCATTATTTTGTATTTTTAAACTGAATATTTTAAAGTTTGTGTTATAAAACAAATCACAACTCACATGGCAGTTAAATGTGTCCCTGGTCTCTGAGGTTCATGGACTACAACTAATTAGCCTCAAACATTGTATCAATATTCTTCCAGGAACTTCAAAGAAGGTCTTAACGTTGCCAAAGACCACAGGTTCTGGACTTCTAATAATATGTTTTATTTGTATATTTTTATAATATGGAGCTGCTTCTTGTACAATGCCACTATTGAGAATTCTGGGTATTGAACAGATTAGCCCCTAATTTTTTGGTCTTGGTTCCCTTTTCATCTGATAGAGCAGTTCTTCTTGATAAGATGTGTCTTTGGGCATTATTCATTCTATGAACAGAGTCATTGAAAAGTCAGTACTTTGGTTTGGTTTGGTTGGCTTTGGTTGAAAAACTCTAAGTGTTTTGGGGTAAATATTGTAAGCCTTTGAATGATTCCCTTTGAAAGAGAGCAGATGTTAGAAAAGAGAAATCAGTGTCTGCCCTGGAACACTGTTGCCTGGAATGACAGTGTGATTTATTGGGAGCTAGTCTGAAGGGGTGGAATGTGGAGGGGCAGGGAGAGGGGGCAAGAAGAGGAGAAGAGGATGAGAGAGGACTGGGAAGGAGACAGAGAGGGTGAGAGGCTGGTTAAACTTCTTAGTGCTCTCTGTCTGTCCACCTGCTTTGTTCCCACAACTATGACCGAGTTCAGACGAGTTGAGGCGCTATGCTCAGCTCACCAGTAGCAACAGCTCCCTAGTCATCCCTGTGCTTCTAATTGACCTCCCTTGATTCCGTTCTTCTCATGGCACCTAGAATGATGATCTCTAATGCAAAGGGCTGGTGAAATCTGTTCTCTGCCTCCATTTCTCATCTTTTAACACATCCCTGCTGCTGCTGCTTGGCTAAGTGTCCAAGTGCCAAACTTGATGAGAAGCATCGACCACATCAAGGATCCTGGGAGTAACAGGCGGTGTCACCTATGATCACCCTGGAGCCTGCAACCTTGGCTCCTGGTGGGCATCAAGGGGACCTGAGGTCCTGCTAATGGTTGCACAGGGTGAGACCCTACCCTGGAGGGAAGAAAACTGGAGAGGAAATGCCATGTGTGTTTGCTTCTTCCTGGTTGTCCTGAAGACCTTTAAGCAAATATGTGTCTGCATCATCATTTATAGCTGAAATTTCACAGTCAGTCACATTTATAACCACAAGGAAAGAGTGTTTTCTGCTGCAAGTTGCTAGCTAAATGCTCTGCCAGGAACATTCAGAACAAGCAAGTTATTGTCTATGTGTTTGCAGGGAGCTTTATCATCATGGTTTTCCTAACTGTTTTTGCTACTTTAAAATATAAAATAAGATATGCTGCTCGAAATGCTCCACGGGAGAGTGCCTTTTCTGCAGATGGCCTGGTCCCTCCCGCCACCCCTACCCGCTCCTCACATCACAGAACACTTCTGCTCTGCTGTCTGCTTGATTTCAGTGAAGGTGGCCTGGGCTTTTTCTTTTATGGTATCCAAGTCCATGTTCTGGAGATTCTGTAACTGCCCAAGAATAGAATCCTTATCTTCTTCCTCTTCTTGATCTTCATATACCATTTTCTGGAGATCTTCGGGCAAATCCACATCATCTCCAGCCATCTGGATTTGGTTCTCATCCATTTCACTCTACGTGAAAAATAAACACAGAGATAGATAAACAACTCTAAAAGTAACCAGCTAACTAACTAACTAAATAAAAGTTAGAAGCCACAGGAAAGTGAAGGTCTGTCAGGAAGGAACAAAGTGAATGGCATCCTTGGCTGTCTGATGGCAGAGCCTGGTCCTGGTGGCAGCTGGGGAGGCCTCTCCTTCACTGCATCTGGGGTTGACAAGGACCTTCTAGCATAGTGGTTCTCCAAGTGCGGTCCCTGGACGAGCAGCATTAGCATCATCCAGGGGCCTGTTAGAAATACAAATTCTCAAGCCCACCCCAGGCCTTCTGAGTCAGAAACTCCAGGGCTGGACTTTAAGAAGCCCTCTCTGTGACAGTCGTGCATGTGAAAGCTGGAGCATCACACTTCAACGCTGCCTCAGTGAAGCTGTGCAAGTTTTGCAGGGACTAACAGCCTCATGTCATGACCCAGTGACCCATTCACTCATCACACTTTTGTGGCAACTTCTGCTTAACCATTGCTCCCCTTCTTCCTTTGGCTAGACAGGGAGCCCCACGTGGGCACAAAATCATGTCAAATTGACCACCATACACTCTTAGCACCTGGAATGGAGCCAGGTATACAGTAGGTGTTTAGTAAGTGAATCATGACGCCTGGCTATTACTCAGCATACTGATGGCCCAGCTTTCTGTGTTGCTGAGGCTCTCTCCATAGGCCACCTTACACATTTGTTCTGTCATTTTAGGCATGGCTGTCCCAGAAATTCTCAGGGCACGCTGCCTGGTCATTGAGATTCCTTTACCACTTAGGCTCTAGAGCCCTTTGTTTCATCATGAGACAGAAGAATCTAAAGAAAAACATTCTCTGGGAAAGGTTAACAGTAGCTTATGTTCCCAGATGGCTCCTATCAGATCATCTTCAGAGATCAGCTTGTAACATGAGGCAAACTGGTTTTCAGGGGTACAGAAGATTAAAAAGAGTGTCAGAAAAGCTAATGATAGAAAAGGTCTACATTACTGTCCTCCTCAATATGTTGTGACCAACCTTGAACTTGTTACTACAGCTCATGAAAAATTATTTAAGTATAAAATGATCATCTTGGTCTTAAGCAAACCACCTTGATTTGATTGAGGAAAGATTTCAGCATCTGCTGAGTTCCCAGGTGGAGTTAAACACCTGCTGGCCGGTTAGCTCAGTTGGTTAGATCATGGTGTTATAACACCAAGGTCAGGGGTTCGAATCCCCATACCTGACAGCCACTACAGACGACACCTGAAGGGAGATCTGAGTTTCCCTTGCTTGGGTGCTGAGTAGAAATGACCATAAAGAAGCATCAGGTGTCTTTAGGCCCAAATGCCATGTCAGGGTAACATGTAAAATTTATCCTCCACCCGTGGAGAGGGCTGGAGGGGCAGATGGCTGGTGCTCAACAGCATTTCCCCAGAGCTCTCTTCTTTTGTTTGGTTTCCCAGGCAGAGTGATGGCTGAGTCTGGCTCCAGAAATAGCTGGAGAGGCAGATTTCAGAGGCAAGGAAACCAGTGCCATTAGGAAGGATGGTCCTCACACAGGCCCCCCCGAAGACCCCAGAGGAGAGCATCACCTAGGCCCAGCCTCCCCTGCCCTTGGTTAGAGCCTTGGACTCTGCAAGTGTTTAAGGGATTAATTAGTTCCTCATCAAGCTGTTGTGGGATTAATTAGACAGTTAATCCTTAGGGGCTCCCAGCCAATCTTGCATTTCTACTTATTTCTTATTTACCTATCCTAGCGGCTGCTTTCCCTACCCATCATCCTCTGGGCAGTTTGGCTGGGAGGAGAGGAAAAGCAGACATCAGCCTGCCCATTCTCAGTCCATGCAAAGGCAGGACCTTCTTCTGACCCTCTTTCATGCACACAAAGTCAAATGTAAATGATTTGGAAAGACATTACTGGGCAGAATCAGGCACCTTCCCTCTGGTTGACAGTGACATTACCAGGTTCAAACCTACACAGAGTAACCACTGTGGGCCTGGAAGGCCAGGCAGCTAGAGAGGCTGAAGTGGAGTGAGCCCACCAGGGGTGCTAAAACAGCGAAGCCTCATGGAGGGTGTTCTGTCCCCCATTCATGGGGTGACTAAGGCCACCCTCTACCCCTGCTGCCTCTGGAGAAGCTTCAGAATGCTTTCCTTCTTCAAGGGTGACTTTGAGGTTTATTTTATCCTCATGCCACTCGCCCGGGGAAGAGAGTGCAGTGGGCTTCACGTTGCCTCATGACTCACAGAGGGGAGCTTGGTTGCCCCGACTTCTACCACAGTATTTCTTAAAGTGGGGTCCCGGGCCAGTGGCATCAGCATCTCCAGGGACCTTGTTAGAAATGCACATTCTTAGGCTCTGCCCAGACCTGCTGATTTAGAAACTTGGGGCCAAGCAATCTGTAAATGATTCTGGTGCTTGCTAAAGTTTGGTGCTGCTGTACATTTCTTGAAGACAGGGGCTGTCACTCGCTCATCTTTATGTCTCAGAACCCAGCAGAGTTTCTGGCATGGAGATGCAGACTACAGGGACTGGATGAGCCTATTGTCGGGGACCATAACCACCTTAATAATACTACATTTGTAGGTCCTCTTTGCTGTAAAGGTCTGTTTTCACAGCTACTGACTTATCTTTACATTCTTTTGGGGCAGCACGGCCTTGAGTCAAGGGCATTGTCCTGAGGGGAACGTGAGCTCCACCCCCTACAGGAGGTGTAGCTGGGGCACCTCACACTGCCACCCCCCACCCCCACCCCCCAAGCTTTATCTCCTTATCTGTAAATGGGGGCGGTATTATTTGCCTCAGAGCTGTGGAGGATTAATTAGATGATAACTGAATTACTTAGAATCTATTAAGCACTCAGCAGTGGTAGCTATTCATAAAAATAATAAACTTCACAGGTGGGCAGGGAGGCTGCCTGGGCTAATCCTGCACAGGGGTTAGCCCCTCAAGAGGCCTTGCTCTCTTTGCCCTCACCTCTGGCCTAGGAATGACTGCTGCCTTCGCGCCACAGCTCCACAATGCAGACTCGGTTTCCCTATGAGCTGGGCCTATTCATTTCCCTTTACCACTAGGCCCTCAATGCTGGGGGAAAGCCACCTAGGCCATTTGAGCTTCCTTGACCTCTTGCCAGGCCCACCCCAAAATTTGTGGATCGCACAGGATGAATACTGATGAGGACTGGCTCAGGACTTGGCCCTCTTTTCTCCCAGTTGCTGGCTGCATCTCTCACTGGGAAGGGCCTTCAGACCTTCTGTGTCGGCTCCTCCCCCACTCCTCGGGTCTGGTCCCTCAGGCCAGCAGCTCAGTGTACTCTCAGGAGCACAGACCTGCCGAGGAGGGCCTGGGCAGGCCCTGGAATGCATTTAGGCTGGGCATTTGGGGTCCTGAGTGGCCAGAGTGTGGTCTAAATGAGGGATGTGCACTCTGGGTGGGCACACCTCTTTGGCCTTGCAGACTCCTCGCCCTACTTGAAGAAGTGTGGCCGGAGGAGAGACAGAAGAAATCCCCTAAAGCATGGAGCCCAGGCAGGTACCCAGTTGTCCAGGTCTAAAGGCAGCGTTGGGTGTGGTCAATGGCTGTGGTCAGAGAGTGCTACACTACTCTCATGTTGTTCTAGAAGGCCCATGCTACTGACCCCTGTCAGCAGCACAGTTACTTTGGGTGATGATTCTAGTGCTGGAATTGATAGTCCTGGGCTATAGCCTGTGCTGTGGACACCAAGTGGATACTATGTGCCATGGACACTAAAGGCAGGAAAACCGGCCAGGGCAGGTGAGTGGCTAGAGGACAAAACGAAGCCCTCTGGAACCAAACCTGGGCCTCTGGCCTAGGTCCCAGCCAACTGAGCAAGCCCCAGACCTAGGCCTGACCAAGAAGCATAAGTGTCTCATTTGTAAAAAGCTGCAGCCCACTCAGACTATTATCCTGCATAGGCAACCTATGATAGTGGAAAGATTGTGGAATTTGGAGTCAGGAGATCTGGGTTCAAGTCCCAGATCTGTCATTCGCTCATTGTGTGAGCTTGCACAAGTCACCTTACATTTCTGATGCCCAATGATAGATAGCACCACTCACAAGACCATTGAGCATATTGAATGAGACATGTTGTGAAACAGCCTCATAAGCTTCTAAGCCCTGGCCAAATTGTAGCTGTGGTTATTAATATTTTAGAGGCAAGACAGCAGCTCAGTGTCAAGATCCCTGCAGAAAGGATCTCTGGGACAAGGAAGGTACGGACAGTGGAACAGAGGGTGGGAGAGTCGGCCCTTAAGAGAGAAATCCGGAACAGAGCAAGCAATTAAGGAGCATAAATGGGACTTAGACAGTGGACACTGGGCAGCCTTGTTTCCTCCTTTCCTAATGAACTGCCCTGCTGATGGGACCTTGTCTACAATCCAAACAATGGATGTCTTGTCCAGACTTTCTGCTGCCCATTGACAAATCTTAGGTTGGGGAGACCAGGAATATTTTGACACAGTTCACACTTCAAGGAGAGGCAGTAATGAATGCCTCATTACACCCCCCAAATACAAGTACAGTTCCAGCCAGTGGGAATCAGTGTCACTGCAGGCCAGAAGAAGATCCAGGGAGGAAGGAAAGGCTCAGAGCTGAGAACCGTGGCATGAATGAATGAATGAGTGAGTGAATGAAGTAAGCCCACATAGAATTAGGGACATTTTGGTGGCATTTTGTTCTTAGAGGCTCTGTTTCAGGGGTCTTCTCATTTTCTAGAAATCTTATCAATTTGAGATGTTGTTTAATGCAGGTAAGAGCTAATTATTTTTATGCCAGCTGACCAGAATCTGTTTTAATCTCTTGTTTTTAACCAGACTTCTTATCTTTATTGCCAGTGCTGAATGTCCTATTATTTAAATAGCTCCATACCCTGCTATCGTCATTCCCTGTGACTGATCGACCCCTGACGTTTCACCAAACGGTAAGCACAGCCTTAGATTTCAGACTTCCTAGATCTTGATAAAGTGGCCTACATCTTTTACCAG